GTCCCCTGCCGGAAAGGGGGCGGGGGGCGCGAATCCCGTTTTTGGGGCCCGCCCTTCGAGCGGGACAGCCGATTAAAGGGGGCCCGTCCGTTTCACCCCCGGCCTCGACCGAAGGGGATTTTTTGATTTCGGACGGGGCCGAGGCCCTTCTTTCGCGTCTGCGCGAGTCCGCGCCGGATGCGCTCGGGCTTTGTTTGCGTCCTTCGGCGTGCGGTGGGGCTGCTGAAGTCGAGGCGGGGGAGCGTTCCGTCTTCACCGCCCACACCGAGGCGGATCGACCACTTTTGAAAGAAAATATCGATTCGGACGAGGAGGTCGGGGTATGGCGTTCTTCTCAACGCTGCGGTGATGTCAGAAAGCTGCTGCGCTGGTATTACGCATCGCGCGATCCACGTGCGCATAACAATGACGCCCTACCTCACCGCAAACGACGTTTTTCGATCATACTTTTCGTGGATACTTCCAAGTCTAACAGCCTTTCGCCAACCACCATGTCCACCACGCTGAAAACATCCGGTACGGTCACCAATGAGAGTCCACGGAGGCCACGACCATCTTTGATGTCCAAACACTTCTCCAAGAAGGTTGAAGAGCTTGGATTTAAGGCACTGCGGCCCACCAAACTCGAGGAAATTTTAGCGGCGGTGCAGGAATGGTCTGTCGAGCACCAGTGGGACCACTGGCGGCGCATGGGCCTACACCGTCATCAATCCCCTTCTTCACGGGATGCTCGCGTGGACGACAACCCATCATCGCATCAAGAGATGAATTTGCAAGGTTAGCGCATTTTCACATGATTCTCGCTTTGTTTTATTCCCTTCCGACCTCTCCTTTTTTTATTTTCGTGTGTGTGTGTGCCGTTTTCATTTTAAACAAGACCTTAACTGATTCCCCAACGTGAATTGGTTGTTATGGATTGGTCTGAGAAAAGTTATCTTGTTAAGAGGACTATGTAAAGTGAGAGGGCATAACAAAAGAGGGAGGTAGTCAGAGGGTCTAACTACACACAGATGACAACCGAAATATTTGCATTAAACATGTCCAAACGTCTACTAGAAGAGGTTTATTCTTCGCTTTCCCTCTTTTTCACTGTGTATACCTTTGAGTGGATATGTTGTTTGTTTGATTATTGCTATTAGGACTATCGTTCCAAGCAACTTGATATATTTTCTAGCTTTGCATTACATGAGCTGGTGAACAGGAAAGGTGTGATGCTTTTTTTTGGCCAATTGTCTTTTTTCTCCTTTTATAACTCAGGTGAACTACCGCGAAGCTGAAAAAAACTCCGAGAAAGAGGGAGGGGAGGGGGGAGGGGGAAGGTTATCGAAGCACTCTTGATTGATAAAGGGATAATACACAACTATTTCCAAAAATCGTGACGATGCGTCCATTTTATCTCAAACGCCGACCCTCTTTCATCACGGATTGCTATGGGGTATTCTTTTCTCTGCAGTTCAGCCTCCGGGGGGTGGCCTCGGCGCGGCCGAATTTCTACAAACGTCTGAAGGTCGAGGGAAATGCGACCCCCGAGGAGATCAAAGCGGCCTATCGGCGTCGGGCCTTGGAGTGCCATCCCGACGTCGTGGAGGATCATCAGCGCACCCAGGCCGAGGTCCAATTCCGCGGCATTTCCGAGGCCTATGAGGTGCTTTCCAACCCCGAAAGCCGCCGCGCACACGACAGGGACCTTGGCATGGAATTTCATTCCACGAAAACGACAAAAACGACAACAGGGAGGGCCGCGCGTGGGGCGTCGGTGCGGGATTCCCCCGTCCCCCCTTCCGAGGAGGAGTTCGCCGCATCTTCGAGCCGAAAGGGCCGGGGGTCGACCTGGCGGAAACCGTTTCTCCGCGGCGACGCCGACCGCCTTTTTGCCGAGGTTTTTCAGGGCAAAACGGTCGATCAGATCATTTTCGACCTTCGACGGCGGCAGCGTTCGGGGGATTTTCCTCGCGAGGCCGCGGGGGTCCTCGGCGCGATCGAACACGCCGCGGCGCGGGCGGAGCGGCAATTCGGGCCGTCGATTTTAAAGCATCTTCGCGTGTGCGATTCACGGCCGCGCGGCCCGGCCCCGCCGCCCGCCGCCGAAATGTCTTTTCGGCCTTTTCGAAATCGCCCCCCGCCGGCGGGGGTGCGGACGCCGCAGACGCCGCGGATGGGCGTCGTGAGGGCGAGCGGCGACCCATCGATTGAACTTCTCGCTGCGGACGAGGAGGCCCGCCCTCCCCTCGGCCACTTTTACGCACCAAAACTCCCCGATGGGAGGGAGATGAGTCGACTTCAGGGGATCGATCAAGTCGAAAGGATGATTATGGGCGCGGCGCACAATATGGGGGTGCTGTACTCTTACCAACGCCCTTATTAGCGAACTGTTTCCCCTTTTCCATACACACTATAACTTAAAAAAACAAAATACTATAAATGGCGGTGAATAGTGTTTGAGTTTAGGTTGTTGTTGTGGGGATTCGGGATGCTGGAATCACTGAGACGTACTCGAGTTGAATGAAAAGGAACTCATACAACTGAACACATATATTGATGATTTATAGGAGGGAGAACGAAATGAAACTTTTCTCACTTTTTCTTTCTTTCTCTTTATTTCACCTTACCACACGACGTATTCATTAGTTTGAGTATAGTCAGAATTGGTGAACCTACTAAAGATACAACAAATTCGCTGTGCATTCTGAAAAATTGTGGTTTACTCCCAATCATAGTTTAAAGTATTTCTGCTGCGATAAAAAGTTTTGCTGTGCGACAGATATATTTCGATACGTAACGAATCGATCAAGGTGGAAACTTGGACACTCTTTACGGAATCCTCGATAAATCATCCTCAACACACCTGCCGTTAAACATACCGCGATCTTGAAACCCATGCGTCGCGTTGGATGGTTTTCCATTGCCGCCCTTACCGCTATTAAAGGCAGTCCTTCGCGGACTCCTGCGCGGACGGTCTACACGACGTGGGGAGAAATCGCCTGCGAGAATTGGGCGAAAAAGGAGAGTTGGTTTAAACGCATCACCTCGCAGGCCGCGTATCGCAGCTTTGAGTTCTGGCATGTCCCAGAGGTTGATGCCCCGTCCGATTTAAATTTAAGCCCGGTGGAGCTTTACCTGCTCAGCTGCCTCGAGGACGACACCACGCGATTGCTCAGCGTCGCCTGGGGCAATGATTTTGACCCTTTTTGGAAAGACCGTGTTCAGTCCCACGAATCGCTTTTTAATACCCTCTACCACAGCAAATGCGCCTTCTACAAATTCCTTTATGGCGACCACACGTACCACGAGAAAGAGAAGCTTTACATCGAGAGAAAACTCAACTACCTGAAGGACGTCTTTTATTGGGCGTCCGTGACCGAGCGCCATTATACGGCGCTCGCGAAGGTTCGTTTTCACATTCAGCGTGAGGTGTGGAATGCGTTGGAGCGGGAACGGTATTTGTGCGCGTGTGTGGAGGTGGTTGAGTCGCTGCGAAAGCAGATCCCTGAGGAGTTTTCCGAGAAGGCGATGAGCGAGATGCAGCTTGTTCTTGTGAACTTACGGCATTGGGTGTGCGACTGCCCTAATGGCAAGCGTACCTTTACCCGTCAGATTATTTGAAAATGATTCCTAATGCGGAGGAACTTATTTTTATTAGAAAACGACATTTTTCCTCTTTTCAGCATAACTTCTTACCCTTTTCTTGTTGATATATGCTTATTCGTATTAGGGGTTCGTTTTTTTTCAAAACTAATACTTGATTACGCAGTGCGAAATGTTTTTTATTAAAAATTCCCACTAGTTAATTCTTAAGGACAGTTATTTGCATCGGAAGACGACATGTACTAAAATCATAGGACTTGTGTTAGATTCTCACAATAGTGAAATATATTATTGAATTCAATTTTAATTTATAGTTCATACTTTATGTGTGCAGAGCCGATTTACTTGATACTATTTTTTTTCTGCACTTCATACAGGTCGTGTTGGTTCCTAGGGGTTATAAGGGGATTACAATCAACGGTGCAGGCAAAAGGAATGCCTCTAGGAAATGTGGATGAGAGTTTAATTTATTGATAGAGAACTGAGTGATTTTTGAGTTTTTATCTCTTTTTGCTCTACGTCAACAAGTGGAATACATCATGACAATAAACATAGGACCAATCTGACGATCCAATACAGGTATCGGTGTGTATAGAGGACACAGGCATTTTTGTGTCAATATACTACCCCCCCTCCCCCTCCCTCCTCCCTTTTCCTTTCCTCTCTCTTTCCTCCCGTGTAAATTAGTTCGATGATTCTCTACACAAATCCACTGACCCATTTTTGCGTTTGGATTTCGCCGCTCAAGGCTGCAGGCCAATCTGTAACAACACTTTCCCACCCATCCTTCTTCTCACCCTTTTTTCTTTTATAAAGCAGTACAACCTTCAAAAGAAACGCGAAACATCGAACTCTATTACATCTCGACAGGGCCATGTCTTCTATTGATATGCTACTGGATGGGGCCCTGGCGTCCTGTTTTGCCGTGGTCTTTTCGAACCCGTTGGATACGATGCGGACGCGGATGCAGCTGCAGGGTCAGCTTTGCCGGTCCGGGCAGTATCAGGTGATTTATCGAAATATTATCCAGGGTATGCTCCGCGTGGCACGGGAAGAGGGGTTGTTAGCACTCCAGAAGGGATTAGGCTCCTCGATACTATGGCAAATCTCCCAAAACGGCGTCCGCATTGGGTTATACCCCGCCCTGAAAGAGGATATTGGCTACCTTTTGAATAGTGAGGATTCTCTTTTGACCTGCGCGACAACCGGCGGTCTCTGCGGCTTCATCGGCACTGGACTTGCCTCGCCGTTTATGTTGGTGAAGACGCGCCTGCAATCACAACATAACAACACAATCGGCGAAAATGGACAGACCCTCCAGCGAAGTTCTATTGGCCAGCAGCACCACTACAAAGGGATCTGCGATGCGTTTCGCACAATTTACCGAGAAAACGGTATCTTGGGGTGGTGGCATGGCTCCTCAATCTCCGTCTTCTTGGGGGTTACTGCGTCTATTCTCCAGCTCACCGCGTATGACCGTTTGAAGTTTTACATTTGCGAATATGCTAACTTGAAGTCATCGGACATACGAGTCCACGCTCTATCTTCTATCCTCTCAACTTGTATAATGATACTTTTCCTGAACCCAATTTTTCTTATCTCCACACGGGTCTACAACAATCCGCTGAAAGGTGGGGGAGAGGGCTTGTTGAGCCTATTCCCCACGATAGTGAAGACTTTTCGTGTGGAGGGGATTCGCGGCATGTACAAGGGCTCCACTGCGTATGGCATGCGCTCGGTGCCACATTTTCTTTTCACGTTTATTGCGTTAGAACAGCTTCGTTCGTTTCGGGAGAAGTACACAAATCGCTCATATACCACCGGCACGAAGGCAAACAAGAACATCGGGTATTTTAAGAGAAGACATGCCGCCGCTCAACATTCTTCACAGCTTGGTCAATCTGTGTCCGATCTTGATTAAAAAAAAAAAGAGAAGCACAAACCCAAGTTCACAACTTTGATACTCAAAAAGTATAACATCTACCAATATTGGTGTACGTTAGTCGTGATTCCGTAGTATAGCTTCATATAAAGCTTTGTTAGATTCCGTACAAAGCCGAGTAAAAGGTGATAGCCATAATGTAGCAACTTCTACGGCGTCAAACATATGTATTTAAGAATATCCCAAGAAGTATGTATGTTTGAATGATAAATGACATTAACTAAAGTGGCTTTCCTACTATAGCTAGAATTATATCCATTTACATATATGACATGATGCATGTTTTCATGTTTTTTTTTTTACTTAATTGCTGATAGAAAATGGTAACCTTAGGGCCCTTTCTTTACATCTATGTGCGTGTAGAATGTTGTTGTGAAGCTTCTACCATGCTTCTATTTAGGGCATGAAAAAGATATCATGGATGCTTTCTTTTTTTTGTTTCCAAATGATAATATATATACATATCTGGAAGATTACTTAGTGTTCTTTTTTTTATTAATGCCCGTTTCTAATTTACCTTTACTGACTTTATATTCTTTGCATTTTATAGAATCCCGAAAGAAAATATACTCATAAACTTTTTGAGCTTATATGTTCTATTTGAGTTTCTTCTTGACTATGGAAGTTTTTCTATTTGAATTATCACTAACTGTGTTAGGCATGCACTTGGTATTACATGTTAATATATAGCCATCCTTTTTTTTTTTAGATAGCTGCGTTACGATTTTTTCCATAACAAAGATAAAAATTATAATTCTTATTATAAAACAATATGATGCTTTTTGTCATTATTATCTTTATTAGTGATACATTGATAAAATATCTTTCATTTAATAGGGAAAAGTTGCGATAAAAATAATTTAAAAGCATCATGTCATGTACTTACTTTTATCATATTTTTACAGGGCGAAGCAAAATATTACTTATAATAACTGTAAACATGAGGTTTAAGTTATTTCGCGGTTTCTGAGCTTTTACTTTTTATCATTGTCTCTGATTTCTATTTTCAGAGAGCAGACCTTCTCTCATTTAAAGGGTTTTCCCTTTCATACATAAAAGCATAGTGGTTATTTAATCGGCAAGTGACCCGTAAAAGGATTGTGCGCATTACCACAAGAGAGTACTTTTACACAAGCCTACATGACGAACTCTGGGGAACCTAAAGATTTGTGAAATTCACAAGGTTTGTGTTTTTCTAAATTTAGTAAATTCATACTTTGGACATAGACTAAGAAAGTGGAAGAAGCAAGACAAGAGATTGCATTCTTTGCTTTTATCTCTCCCTTTTTTTCGGGCTTTATTTGGTAATGTACGGTCATTTTCTCCGGGAACTTTTCTGTGGGCTTTTCCAGGGTAGAGGTGGCTTCCTCATCCCCTCTGTAATTCCTGTATGTAGGGCCTTTCGAATTATTCCTCTGGAAAAAGTTTTTCCGCCTTTCTTTTGCCCCCCTGCAGCCTCCTTTTTGCGTAGGGGTGGGGAATTGCAGTTTGGCCATTCCCTGATGCGGAGTTTGGCCAGGCCTTCGCGGAATTTTCACCCAGCCCGGCCTTTAATCGCCACTTTTTGCGTTTCTCGCATGAATTTCTTAGAAGAAGGCGAAAAAGGAGGAGGCTATTATCGATTTGCGCATGTGAATCAAATTGCACTGGATGCGGGGGTGTATGAGATCCACACAAAGCGTGGAAGTGGGCCAGGTGGACAGGGCACGAATAGCTCCAGCAACAAAGTTGAGCTGCGCGTCGATCTGGAGATGCTCTCGGGGTTTTTTGACGAGGAGATTATCAAAATTATGCGGAAAAATGAACATCAAAAGGCCTTGACTAGGGATGGGGCGACTCTCGTGGTAAGCTGCCATGAACATCGTAGCGCGCTTCAGAACAAGGAGGCTTGCATTCGAAAAGTGAAGGAAATTATCAGGAAAGCCTCATGGGTTCCATTTGTGGATGCCGAACCTATCAAGACGGGCTCGAATACTATTTCTCACTCCAAAATGGAGCGGCGTCAAAAGCGCAATTTTATGAAAATGCAGCGAGCAGCACGTAAGGGTAATTGGTGAGAAAATAAAATGATTTCGGCATATGGAAGTGGTGGATGAGGGTTTCCTTTTTCCTTTTCTGTCGGTTTACATTCGGGCATATTCTATTTGGCCACTGATGTCTAAGATGCTGTAAGAGAGAGAAAGGATAAAAATACAAGAAGAAGAGTCTACACCCCAGAGGGATGTTTTGTGTGTGTTTATGCAGTGAATTCAGATTCTTGAAGGATCAATTTCACAAACACGGTAATTGAGGACTTTATTCCTCCTATGGAGTAAGGAGGATACGTTGGGTCTTGGTTGCATATTTCAATGCAAGCAACTATGTTATTAAAAATTATCTATTCATTGACTCGCCTCGTTTTGTCATTGAAACTAACCACAA